AATAAGGTGTTCTGTAGTTCACAGAGGGGAACTTCACTGGGTTGACAACACTGTTTGGGATTTAAGTGCAGCAGAGGCATTGTGTGTTCAACTGACTTTTCTGGCTGGATCAACAGGTATTTCTTGGCATTATTGGAAAATGAAAGTGAATCCCCTCCCACTGCCCTTTATCTCCACAACATGGGGGGTTATTCACGAAGGATCCAGCCGTAGTTTCAGGTGATCCTTTCTGCTCTCTTTAGCCGCTGGAGCCCGAAGGATCCGAACCGAAGGGCTGCTATAAGAGCTATTCACTACAGCCTGTACAGCGGCCGAATGGTTCAGCCGAGCTGAGCCAAAGTGACGCCCGATGCGGGGGAAGGCCGGCCATAAGCCCCGCAAATGACAGCTGGGCGGGGCCAGATGTGATCTCACGGCTGGCTCCGCACAGTTGTAATGACAGATCAGCGTCCCCAAATGACCTGGGGATGCTGCTCTGTCATTAAACAATAACAACTGGGCGGAGCTGGCCATGACATCACGGTTGCCCACTCAGTTGTTGAAGAAGACTAGCCGGTGCCGGCCAATAGGAAATAGTTGGGCGGAGCTAGCTGTCACTGCTAGCTCCACCCAATTGTTTTGTTTGCTTTTGTTTTTCTGCTCGGTACCACGGAGATACCGAGCAGAATAGCCGAGCCAAATGGCGCCTGGTGACATTCGGCTATTCACTCACTGCCATTCGGCCCCTATTTATCTGTGGATAACATTGATACAGTCCAGAAACTTCTGGATGAGTTTCTTCTTTCACAGGATACACACACACACACACACACACACTGCAGAGATGTACTAAATATGTAACAAAATATTGTTTGGGAGTTTTTTTAGTGAATCACCAATACAGTAAACTGAACTGATAGTGACACTTTAATTATTCAAATGAAGCTCTGCCTTGGGTCCAACGCTTGCTGGGTACCTCACCACAACCTTCTTGGGAACCATGCAGCACTATAGCTGATGTATTCTTCTGCATTGCTAATGGTGGGATTTATAGTCCTCTATAGCCGGTAGTATTCTGCATTGCTAATGGTGGGATTTGTAGTCCTCTATAGCCGGTAGTATTCTGCATTGCTAATGGTGGGATTTGTAGTCCTCTATAGCCGGTAGTATTCTGCATTGCTAATGGTGGGATTTGTAGTCCTCTATAGCCGGTAGTATTCTGCATTGCTAATGGTGGGATTTATAGTCCTCTATAGCCGGTAGTAATTCTGCATTGCTAATGGTGGGATTTGTAGTCCTCTATAGCCGGTAGTAATTCTGCATTGTTAATGGTGGGATTTGTAGTGCTCTATAGCCGCTGGTATTATTCTGCATTGCTAATGATGTGATGCTGAGATTTGTACTCCTCTATAGCCGGTTATATCTGCTCTTCCCATACCTGCTGCTTTCCATTGGGCACATTGTAACCCTTTCTTGGCTACATTGTTTATTAAACACGTCTTCATTATTTATAACTTCTTATAACTGAACATCGGATCACATTTTAGGGTCATTTATTCTAGAGATGTGTCCCTGACATCCTTAGAGCAATATTTGCTGGCTGACCCTAAGGGCTGACAAACCTGCTCAACCTGTATTCATATAGACAGGAATGTGGAGAGATCAGCATGGCTTCCTACTGGGGGGGTGGGG